ACAACTCAACAACAAGCAGACATTCAATGCTGACGTCGGACGATGAAGAACAGCTCTGGAATTTTGCCACACCAGTGCAAGAGAAGCCGACTCATTGTCACCCTTCTTCAGGATAATGCTCGACCTCATAGTGCAAGATCGCCTTATCATTTTTGGACCAACAGGGCCCAACCACTGGTACCATATCGACCGCATAGCTTAACCATGGGATAATCATCTTTTTTGGTCCTTGAAACAACATCTGCAGGAGCAAAAATTTAAAGACTACAACGATCTGAGAGGTGACCTCACCGACTTCTTGATCGCCTGCTTTGAGTAAATGGAAATCGAGCTAACAGACGTGTCGAAATGCGAAGGAAATTATGAGGCAACTGAAAAATACCAGAACCAGTCAAAAGGTGAATGTTCTTGCATTCTTTTTCCCCGCTCCTTAGCAACTGCACAAATCTGTGAAGACGATGAATAACAAGAGCTTTTAACTCAAAGATAAGACCGGATTTAGAGATTTTTGCTCTCCATTTCCACTACTTAAAGGCCTTTCTTGCTTTTAATCGTCAGCACGAATATACCAATTCCATCATTCTGCTTCTTAGGAGCCAATGATGTTCCAGAAGTTTTGGTGAGACAATATAATGAACATAGATTAATTTTATCTCACAAATAGCTCAAAATATCGCAGAATAAAAAAATTATGAAGATATCTGAATAAATGAAAAATTTGAATAAATATGCTTTAATTTTCTAGCGAAAGTGTTATATCAAATTGTTGAAATTCATCGCTTAATTTGCTCGTCGCTTAATTTCATCACGCTTCTCCTTGAGCCTAAACAGCCAAATCGGAGTGAATCATAGTGGCAAACTTCATGATGGAAATTTTCAACCTTTTTCAATTTTATATCCAGTTATGTTGAGTGATAAACAAAATATTCGTCCGCAAGCGCGAGTTGAACATATATTTTATTTTACCTTACCGGGTGGCGTGCTACCATGATACCGAGGCCACCGTTCTACTACCACTCTTTCTTCGGTAAGATAATTTATACCAAAGAAAAAGTGGTAGCGAAGCGGTGGGCCTCGTGGCATAGTGGTTGAACGCGCCCCCGTATGGGTGAACCGAGTTCAACACCCGCCTGCAGTCGAGTGTTTCGCTTATCACCGAACATCATCGATAACTAAACACTTCCTCCACATTGACCTCCTCTTAAGATATTTTTGTTTGTGGTAATTGTAAATAGCGCATAATTTAGTTCTTAGTGCTTCTTTTTATGGATGGCTGTTTAGGCTCGATGCAGTGCAAAACGGGTCGTGGCATATGCAGAAGACGATGATGATGAGCTATAATCGCTTTATTTATTTTTGTCTATGCTCTTCCTGATTTTTACCACGTTATTCGTCTTTTTGGTGCTAAGACCAAGAGACAATTAGTTTATTAGTGTAATGTAAACAGTTTGTATAATTGGAGTCAAATTTTGTGTAAGAAGGAAAAATCACTTATGTTATAATTCTCTCAAAAGTGCATAAGTAATGTGCAGATCTCACAATATTTTCCGATATGTAATTCTTCAATAAATTTTTTGTCTTTTGTATCAACGTACTACTCAGTAACTAAGGATGTTGAGTGATATCTAGGACTTTGGGCTTCAGGCGAAAGTCGAAGCTCGCTTTTTGTTCTTATTGGGGGCGTGTACTACAACTGCACTACTGAGGCCACTGCTTTGCTTGGAGAAGTGCTCAGTTTCGTGTTTGGTGTATAGAATTGCTGGGATTGATAGAAAGTTGGGGTGAGACTGGTTTTCCTCCTTATCAAGCAAAGTTTGGCTATTCAATTATTGGATTTCGGTTCTTAACATCAAAGATGGGAGGAGGGAAGGCAGTGGGTGAGTGGACTAGTGATGCTCAATGAGGTTTGAACACCACCGCAACACTTAGCAACCACTCAACTAATGCACGAGCCTGGCTATCTTCGAGGTTGCAAGGAGATCTACTTGACTAGTATTCTATGACGGTTATGACAAAGACGAAATTTTAGGCAAGAGACGAATTGAATTTCCGGAGCACTGTATTCCGCGTAGTAAAAAATGTGCTTCAGAAAACATCATATAATCTTCCATAATGTAATAGGTTGTTATCATTTTTTTTCCTTCCTTGAGCGGGGTAAGAGGTGTTAAATCCAAGCTTTATTCACACAATCAGACAGCTAACATTTCGGCAGGTCGCCTTCGTCAGAGCGGTTTTTTTATTATATATTTTACCAAATTAATATTTTAATAAGCGGATTTGACGAAGGCGACCTGCCGAAACGATAGCCGTCTGATTGTGTGAATAACGTTTGGATTTAACACCTCGTGCTCCGCCCAAGAAGAAAGAAAAATAAAAATTACTGAAGCATGCAGAGGTTAACAGACAGTCGGTCTTGGGATTTGATATAGGTTGTGCAACAATCTTTTGCCGTTTTGGCTTTTGATATGGTTTTCCCAATGAATTCGCCTAATCTTGGTATCGTTCGATTGCGCCATTTTCTTATGAGCATTATGTCATACAACTTGCTTCTATCTGCTGCAAGATGGAGCTTTCTTGAATCAAATTTGCTTCCTACATATACACGAATGGCGGTAGGGAAAATGCTAGCGAAGCGACGCGCATGATTAATTGAGCTTCCTATGAACGGTTCGAGCGCGACTGGTCCTCTGCACTGTTCCCTCCAGTTTTGAAGTTTGCGAGCCACTTTCTAGCTGTCCTCTAACCGTATCATCACCCCAAGTTCTATTAGTCTTGCGCGCCGCTTCGCTAGCGTTTCCCCTATACGCCAATCGTGCATGAGTAGTTGTTCTCAAGATAGCTCCATTTTGAAGCGAGTATAGACAAGTTGTAAACTAAAATTTTCGCAGGAAAACGCGCAGTTGAACGATATCAAAATCAAGCAGTTTTATTGTAAAGTCAGGTTAAAAAGTCAAAACGGCACGAACTCTTTGCACAATCTATCATTGCATATTTTCGCTCAGCAACATACGCACATCCGTGAAATTTTGCTAATAAATGCGCCATATTTGATTTGAGGGTTGCAGAGGTGTTATACTAAATAGCCAGCTCGCCTTTGTGTACAGAGCGGGCTTTTGTCGTATACATGAATCTGTTTTCAACGAATCTGGAAAACAATGTACAACGGCTCAAGTTAAGTGAATTTTCAGTAATGAAATTTCTGTTCAAGATGGGTGATTGTGAAATGGATTAAGATGTTTTCTCTTGCTATTCAGATTCAGTGCTTCGTTTTAATTCTTACTTACGAATGATATTACTAGCGCTATGTATTACAAATACTGCGAGGATCTCTAAAACACTAAGGATATAACGACAGTTCAGTGAATTTGATAAACTCAAATCTTTGATCGTTCGCAACATGGTTTTCTAATAGCCGCTGAGGGTGGGCGTCTGCAGCGCAGCGCAGTGGTTATAGTCGAGTCATAGTCATTGGTTCGGTTCAGCCATCAGGGCTTAGCAAGACTTTCGCACCTCCGGAGTCGGCAGAAAGCAAGTCCGAGTAAATCTACCTGTCCGATCTCAAAAGATGATGGGCATAGCCTTTGGCAGCTCTAGTGCCAAAACTTATGAGAAGACCTAACACTTAATTTATTGTTTGGCCATTGAGACTCATTGTAAAGGCTAGATTTGAATTCATCACGCATAACGATGCTTGATGAAGTTGGATACACGGCACACCACCTACGGGTTGATTAACGGCAAACAGTCTATCTTTTTTATCAATTTCGAGGCTGAGCAGAACTCTCTGCTGACACGTTGGTCGTTGGCTGACTCCAATTTCATGGCAGAGCAAGTTGATCGTTATGAATTAAAATCAACTCGTGATGTTTTCGATTGCTTCGATTGCGTCTATTATACAGTAACTTTTGTTCTTGCTGTGGGCAGCAGCATTCCATGGAAGACATTAAACACAATGGTTTCATTCTCTCGTCTGTCTTTTGAGCTTTACAATGTTTTTTTCTCTTTATTGGATCCCCGTTTTGTAAGTTCATACTATTCAAGCAAGTTCCATCGAGGTGATCATAGCACGCGCGTAATCCTGTACGTTTCTCAGGTGTAGTTGTTCCCAGTTTTTTCTGAAAGTATTACACGTTTCCTTTTCTGTGTCAAATATATGACCAATATTTCGAAGAATAGCGTGAATTTCGACGTCAGAAGAAGTTGGTCGGGTGTTTTAAGTGAAGTGTATCAAGCTGTATGCACATGTCATCGTGAACATGTTGCTTTGTCCTAGCGCCTAATGCCACATCAGCCGAAATTTGATCGCCTTCAACCTATATCGAACAATAGATTGAAGCATTTTGTGCGTAACATACTTAGGCTGCTATTTCCCTGCTCAACCGAACTTTCAAATTCATACCTGGAGTCACAAGAATTCGTGGCAAAATGTCTCCATGTCCTTTTTACAGACAGTAACTAGCTCTTGCGGATTGAAGTTGGATGAGACACTTCGCGACTAGATTTGTGCCAGGCTGGCAGCTACAGGTGATGCAGCAGTAGCAAAGTTACCATATAGACCTTTTCTAGCATAGCTGACTTTGCTTAATAGATGAGTCTTTTCTATGCGTTTCCTTGAACACTTAGTCTTTCTTTAAACTAACGCACTAAACTATACTGAGGGATTTCATAGGTACATAGGCTATAAATAGTTTAGTTTTCGATCTTACATAGCAGAATGTCATTTTTGGACGCCTAGACGTGAAGTCCACAGTTCGGGTCCTGTGATAAGAGAAGATTACGGTTCATAAAACTACATATCACTGGCAGTATATAGAAGGCAAACATCGCAGCTTGTGTCGCTATCGAACATCGTGAGTGCAGTTCACACATCATCGTCACTCTTTCATTTTTCGTATGTTCTGATGAGATTGCCTGTTAGAGACGACGATTTGATATTTGTGATCATACGACAATCGGAGCAACAGCCGGCGACGAATGAATTTCTTCCGATTACCACCGGCGCGGTGGTGCAATGGTTAGCATACGCTCCCGTAAAGATCAAGATCTGGGTTCGAATCCCAGCGGACGCAAATGTTTTTGTAGAACACTACGCATTATTGGGTATATTAGAAGATCATACCACCACAAGAAGTTGTCAAATAATTGAATTCCGATTCATTAACATGTGTATAAACGTTGATTTGCAATGTTGCATATTTTTAGCAGTCAATGATCTTCTGAGACAAATGCTATCGTGGATTTCATACCCAATGTAATGTTCTGGAGCTGGAGTGTCTGAATTGTCATTCTAGAGCTCCTCGAAGTACCTAGATGTGCCAGTGGTACTGTAGTGTTAGTCAATTCCATCATTTCTGGTGATCGTTAATATTATATTATCATCAATATCTCGAATGTAATTAACGACTCTGTCCTTTTGTCCTTACACATCTACATCGGCTCCACTTTTGTCATTCATCAGCCGAGTTCAATCTTATTAATCAATTGTTCCAAGTACGTTTTATAAAAACTACCAATCTAGTCTTAACACATTGACGAATAGCTAGTTCCTGTTTCAAAATACAATAGTTGTTTTGTACGTAGCTTTCAATGTCGGCACGGTCGACCATTTTCACAGCATTTCCTGGCCAATGCATCACTTGTTTTGGACGTTTGGTTTTTCGTTGTATTTTTACCACGCAAACGCTGTTTCTAAAACAAAAAGCTGAACCTCCAAAACATTCAAGTTTTCCATTTATGGTCTATGTAACACTGCTGTTCATGAATATGTGAATTAGAACACGATTTTTGTTTATTGTTTATCCTGGTTGAATTTGCCAGTTTAGAAGTTTGTTGTGAATGTCAGTGAGTCCGATCTTGTCAATATTCTTCCATGTGACGTACATAGATTTCAGTTACTGTATCGCAAATTCAAAATTATTTTCTCCATCTAAAACACTGCAAACCAACTAAAAAACAGGATTATTCACCTGGTAGATCGCTTTTAAGTGACACACAAAGTCAAATATATGCCATGAGAATAGAAATGCGTGCATTTGGTGTAGACTCGAACTTCCTGCTCTAATATTCTCTCGTGCACTGCTACAACCCGCCTGCATCGGTCACTTCAGAGGACTGGCCAGCAGCCACCTCAGTGAAGGATCCAGGTCAGTCCAGTTGCTCATTCAAGAAAGAAATCCACCAAAACTTTTGGCGGTGAAGCACAACGAAGGGAATACGTATTATATTGCAAGAAAGACTGCGACAAGCAGAAATAAACCTTGAATATAACATGAACACCGTCCAAGTCGCACCAGGCACATATAATGCAGCAGCCGACCAGGTGAGCTCCAATACTTCATCAGGAAACATCACCCACAGAACAGTTGAGGAAAGAACAGAAAACACTTGACTTTTTAGACAGAGCACTAAGTCTTCAAATCAAGACATGGAAATGGGAAACATTTCGGGGAACATTCGAGCGTACTCTGCATTCACAAGACATCTCTAAACGCATTATTTACTGATACCTTTTGAAAGGGGTAAAGTATTTATGAAGCAGTGCGAATTTCACGAGAATCGTATCGGATGGTAATAACTCATTTGAGGAACAAGTACGGCAATAGAAAAGATATGGTCGACTAACTTCTGCAGCGACTATACACAAAGAAACACAAAGCAAATGTCTAGAACATCAACAAATATCATGTAACTCTTCTCTCGACGATCAACCGACTACGACATAAAGAAGAACGAGTTCACAGCGTCTATTTGCAACAAAAACTAGTCAGAAAATCTTCAAGAATATCCAGCGACACACTTTGGATCAGACTGATCAGCTAGAACCACATGAAATCTGCACAATAGGAGTGATCCTAAGCAGTATCAGTCAGTACATAAGCAAGGAATTCAAGCTAGGAACCAAAGTGTGCGAAAAAGTCGACTTCAGAGCGGAACTCAAAACTGCACCATATAAGACCTTCCAACAAAGATTGCTCCCATGCTTACATTGGGACTCAATAGGGCCTTCAAGAGCTGACTTCCATAGAATAAGAAGTCACGAAGGAAGAACAATAAATTAATAATTAATAATATTGTAACAACTGCGGATCAAGGTATCATCAAACTTCAGAATACAAAGAAGGTTCGCTGTCGAATATGCAATAAACGTGGGACCACACTTCGTACTGATTCTATTCAAACCCAAAAGAAAAAGCATTCACATATCTGCAAAGGCGGAGAGCTTTAAAAACGACATAAGTATTACTAAAGAGAATGGAAAAAGAACCGGGCATCTCTAGCCCTACGTTCGAAAATAATCAGGCTGGCTAGCAAAGAGTCGCCAAAAACAAACTGAATAAGTCAACTGCATGTGTACTGTCAACCTTGTTAACTACGGGAAAAATGACTGTATTGAATCCAATTACAAAACATTTGCAGAGATTCGTTGTCCTATTCAGGAGCCGATTTGTCTTTTATCGACGAAGAACTTGCGCAAGAGCTTCATCTGCCACGATGGCGAACTGAAGTTACGTTTGAATACATCTGGCCTCATACTGAGAAGCACATATCACGAACAGTCCGACTTGACGTATGGGACGCGACCGCCATCAGCTTTCGCTGTTCGTTTTAACATACAACGCTAAAAGCATGAGATCAACCCTAAAATCATGAAATCGTTCCAGCAATCGTATAAGTCCAGAAGACAGACTTCATGCGTGAAAACAATATTCACATTGGTACCAACGAAAACAGATCCACTATTCAACACTCCACTCTGCTCGGCTATGATCAGCTATGGACTTTGATGAGAAAGAATAAAGCACACATTGAACTTTCAGCCACACTCTATCTTCTCTCACCCGTCCAAGATACACATGCACAGGCAAAATCAAAAATCCTATACAAGCACAATGATTAGAAAACGACAGCGTGTTGTCACAAATACACCAAAAAGAAGAAGAGAGGCGTACCATGCACAGGAGGACGATTATGAAATTAAATGAGATCAATATTGGTTGCTAAATGTGCTAGTTAGCACTGTTCTCGCCCACCATGCCGAAAAGGAAGAGCAGTTTGGTAGCTCTTGTAGAACACCCTCAAGCAAACAATCAGACATAGCATGCAAATTCGCGCGAATGTCAAAACTGCGGGCCGGAGCATGGCGGAATTCCTGAAGTGCATCTGCAGTATAACCCAGCTATTCTCAAGCAACAGAACACATCTTATAGCACGGGAGTTCGAACAGATATTTCTAAGCAAACAGGTAGATTTAATCTCAAACGTAAGAAGCTGGGAAATTACAAAGATCGTCTTCCTCTATTACAAGTACCACTCCCACGCATTTCCTGCCTTCTTGGACTTGTATTTCTTTACTAGCTCTTCTCAGTCTGTGCGTAATCATGGCTTTGCAGCAGACTCCAAGTTTCCGACATACAGTTTACATGGACAGAGATTTACAACTCATTTCGCCGATCACAGTGCTTATGCGATATTCGCAGACTTCTATTGTCTTCCATTATGAATGCAAGACAGAAAGTCAAGGAAGCCTTGAAACCATGATGTGCACTCACGGAAAAGTTGTAAAAAATCTGGAGGTTCAATTCAGGACCTCGCTTCGCGAGAAGCACCAGCGCCGACCGTCAAATCAGAAATGCTCTAAATATGCCCCAAAGAAGATAAACTATTAGTAATCAGCGATACAATACAACCGCACATCTATGAAAAATGAGACGTGTCAAAGAGCTCGTTAAAAACACTTAAGAAATAGTACGTGAAGCGCTTATTCTGCTACCATCACGTCGCCTCATTCATCCTCTTCAACTATAAGACAGCCAGCTAAAGCAAACACAAAAGGAGGATCATAGTGTATCCAAAAAGAAACCAACACGTACTGATTACAAATAGAAGATAACGGCAGAACAGAGAACATGGGAGTTACATATATTCACCAAATCAAATGTGTACAACGTCCAGCGTATCCACCACCTCGCCATGGAGAGCGCGATGGCGACCACTAGGTCTCGCCTGAGGTTCTTTATCCCGTACTTTTCTCTCTTCTTCCTTTTCTCGTTCTCCGTTCCCTATCTTATTCTCATATTTCGTGTCATTGTCATTCTAGTCGAATGGGGCTCGCACTAGTAGTGCAAATGGGCTATCCAAGTACTGAAGTATCCAAGTATATGTTAGCTAATACTAATCGGACTTCTGTTGGATGGATTGATCTGAGGAGCAAATAATGTCGGTAGACAGTTGTGCAAGAGCCGTTCCGTATCCTGGAGAACTGCCGTATGGTGTTAGGTCGCTTTAGTGTAATTGGAACTCTGTATGAAAGGGCAACGCTGAAAACGAGGCTTCTTTGTGCGGTGATTCTCTCCACGCGATTGTCTCGACGCGACGGCTACCAAGAGCACTGTCGGATGAAGATCATCTGCTGTGAACACAAGACTCAAATTATTGTAGATTTGACGAGCGCGACCGTCGAAACGCTTGCCATAATAGGTATTCCTGAAAACCTTGTGACAGTGATATCTCATCAATAAGGAATGGAATATCTATATTCCACATCGAGGTTCAATGAAGCTCGAATTTGAAAATTAGCTTTCTTGTACGTCAGGGAATTCGTTGGCAGTAATCTGAGTGGTAGGACATGTGAAATGCAGAGGTTGGAAGTGCTCATACACACAGAGAGCCGCCTTTAGCCCAACTCTTGCTCAGAACTCTTCAATGCCTCTATCACAGAGGGGTCAACGGACGGATACACAGGCTCGACATCAAGAATAAAGGCGTTGGCTTGATACATCGGTAAGTGCCCATATGATTCTGCAAGTTAGACATGCATTTAGCCACTTCTCAATAGAGTCGATTCCATGATGCATCTTTCAGAGACTAATCAATGCTAATGATTGCACCTCTTTATTCTCTTACTTGAGTGAAAAACATATTGACAGGTAATTTTGAGGTAATCCATCATAAAAAAAACAGGAACCCGGACTACGAAGACGACTATCCCACATCACTTCCCATTATTCTACGCCTCATTTCAGCTGATTCTGATTTCTATACTACGGTTCCACTTCCACTTACGATATTG